TAGTTTCAAACGCCTACCTTAAACAAATGCCAATTGGATAGTCCAAATGGAAAGATAAAAGTCTGATTTGCTCTTCTGCAAATTGTAGCAAAAGAAACATCTTTTTTTCTGATATACTTTTGTTGTTTGATTTTTATTAGTTATTGATGATTAATATTTCATGCGACGCAGAGATGTCTGTACTTTCTTGCTATATGCGTATTACCGAAAAAAAAGCAACCCATAATAGTCTACAGTAAGAAATACAGAATGAAAAAATGCAATGGAGGCGCACTGTAAATAATGAATACTAATAGTCTATAGAAATATACTTGTAAAATATAGATCTGTGCATAATTTATCCGATGACATAAGATGTGGCTAGTAACAAGGGACATGAAGAGTAGGTTCGAATACACTGATAAAGCCCGACATCGGAGTATGTGTGTGAAGAAATCTTTTTCTGGTCACTAGAACTTTACTCATACAAGAGTGTGTGATGGTGTGGATGTGGGTGTTTGTGGAGTGAGTTATGGTGTGGGTGTCTTTTCTTTATACACACCGGCACACACCCACAACCACCCACCAACCCACACCCATATCCACAACCTTATTTTTTCTGAAAGAATTTGTATTCCTGAATTGGTCGAACTACATTTAAGAACAATACTCAGGTAACTTCGATGAACCAAATCCAACTTTAGGAAAGTCCATTTGAATGCGGCGGTTAAAGTCAAAATACGCGTACAATTATGTAATCTGCTGGATTATTGTCGTTACTACTATATTTTCAAATTATTACGTCTGCAAGACTTCATCGATACTACAAACGCTAAAAAATCATAATCTGACACCTGCAGCATATATTATTACAGTTCCCGGTTATGATCAACGAGTAGCAAGTGTTGTAGATACTTTTAAGAAATACGCTCATATGGATCTTCGACGTTTCGATGGCATGCGGTTTACTCATCCACTTCATGTAAAAAACGAGTCTCTGACACTCGGAGAACAGAGTCTACGAGCGACATTGACAATGTTCTACAGCAAGATGGTTCGTGAAAATCACGAAAAAGTATTCGTGTTTGAAGATGATGCGATCCCACATCGTAATTTTACAGCATTGTTCAGAGAATTGCCTCATCGTTGTCTCGAAGCCGACGTTCTATTATTAGGAGCTACTATATGGCATAAAAAACATACAGATTGGCCCAGCGGAGCGTGCTTCGATGCTAGCAGTGCAACATTTGGTGCGTTTGCTCTCTTTCTTAAAAGAGTATCTTACCGTCCTATTCTTCAGTGGTTACAAGCCGGTACACCAAAACCGTTTGATCATGTTTATCGTCATTTGCAACAAAAGAATCTCTCTGTTCGAGTAGCATTTCCTCCTTTTCTAGTGATTCCAGATATTTCGCATCCATCCTTAATCAATAATAAGCGAAGTGATATCCAATTCGATGTAAGCAAACGAGCCGAAGTGCATCTTTGGCACTTGACAGATTATCCAATGGTTCAAATACCGATTCAGACAATGAGGGACAACGTATCGGAGGCCAGACTTTTCAAGAAGAGAGTGAATACACACACGTAAGCTTGCTTAAACAGAGAAACGAGAATCAGTTCTACCATGGAGAAAAGATTCAAGTAGAAATGCTATGATCGAACTAATTAAATTATGAAATAAAGTGTTTCGTTTTCTTACAATTGCACTTATGATTGTGATTTCTTCGATTTGATACTCGATAGACTGCATAATGGTGATCGTAGGTGCTACACGAAAGAAATTGAGACAATTCTTGTCAAATTCTCTCACAGGACACATAAGTAAATAAATACAAGCAGGAGAGTGGGCGTGTGGTGTGAACGAAAAGAAAGGTTGTGGTTATGGTTGAGAGTGTTGACTAAGATTGTGCGTTTGGATGGGATGCAAGTGCGAGTTTGGGTGAAGATGTAGTTAGATGTGACTTTGAGTATGTGGCAGGACCCGTGAAAGTAGAAGAGAGATGTAAGGAGTGTACATTCTAGTCTCCAATAAATCAAAATAGTACAATTCGAAATAGTCAAAAGAAATTATCCCTTTATTCTGTATTATTGATTATTAACCCTCGTACTCCCAACCTGGGTCATTTTTGACCCATGCTCAAAGTTTTGAAAATACAGTAGAAATATTTTGTAACTTCCTGGTTTTTGAAAACAAGTGGCATGCCTTTCGAATTGAATACCTATAATTCAATTCATAGGATATACAGCTTGCTTTCAAAAACCAGAAAGTTACAAAATATTTCTACTGTATTTTCAAATTTTTGAGTATGGGTCAAAAATGACCCAGGTTGGAAGTACGAAGGTTAAAATAAAAATGAAATAATTGAGCAACTTATTTAGTGTAATCACACAATTACATTGATTACTGCATGTAATACATTAATTGTATGTAGCACTGAGTCTAAGAGCATTATTAGGCTGGACAAGAATTACATTTGCTGTTTTCTTCCACTCCTCGTTCGACAGGGATTCTATAAGTGATAAATCCGTGGTTTTATAAATAAATTTACGTCAAGAAAAGATGTCTTGTTTTTCATTCAGTTTATTGTTCCAAATTCACAGAGTTAATATATTAGAAAGGCGTTACAAAAAAAGTTTAGCCGAAGTCATACAGTAGCACAAAAGATTAAATTTATTGAAAGAGCAAAGTTTTATAGTGCAACGCCTTATTTGGTCGGTTAGTCTCGGCTATTTTGTTGTTCTATATACACGATTCGCGATATTTCATCAAGAAAAGGCCTTACTTGTTATTCATATTGGTAGCAATAGAAATTAATAAAGAGAGAGAAAAAGTCGAACAGATAAAGTTGATCCACAATTAAAGTATATGACAAAAGAAAAGAAAAAAAAACAATATATAAACTAGTAAATCATTTATGCATATTGAGTTAAACTTAAAAATGAGATGCGTAGACAGTTATGCAAATTTCTTTTTAAATTAAGGGGGAGAAGGTGTAGCTATGATTTAAAGAAGAATGGCACCCGTAGCACCGCACACATCCACATCAGATACACACTCACACTCACCTGTAATCTATCCATTCATAAACCCTTTCTGTTCATAAATCTTGGCAAAAATTTGCAACCATTGCATATCGGTATACCCTCGTACTGTTTTCTATATTCAAAAACTCTTTTTGATATATGACCGGAATAAACCCTTATGAGAACGGTTTATTATTCTACGATTGTATTTTAAAGGGTGCTATGATAAGTTCGTCATCTAAGATTTTATTGCGTTCATACACCGAAAAAGAGTTATTGAATACATGAAGCATTATAAAGATACATGATTTTGCAATGGGTAACAAACTATTGCGAAGATTTATGAAGATAGAGGATTTATGAAAGAGTAGATTACACTATGAAATCGACAAGAAGTGTATGCAAATGATAATAAACAGATATGAGGCTATATTATTTCACACTTATTTTTTTTTACAGTGTACTGCTTATGTAAAGAAAGAAGAGGAAATATGGAATTTTATTCCTATACAGCCTGTATCATCTAGTACAGGAATTCGTCTCAAAAGATAGCGAAGTTTTTATTTGAACGCATAATATTATAGATTTACTTGAATATCTTCGAGAGTTAATACCAACTACCGCAATAAATAGTCTTGATGATTGATCTCATACTACCCTATTAGTTTGAAAACAATGATGGATACAAATGTCTTCTTCTTGTTCCAATCTAAGTGAATTGTAAAAAAAGGTACAGCGATACTGCTCGAAAGCTTCTATATTGGAAAAATGAACAATTTTTACATAAGAAGATTCATATTTTGTGGAGTATTTATTGGACTAATTATTGGGTTCATATGTTTTGATACGCATCTCCATGCTACCAAGATTCAATGTCCACAAGATGATGAATTACCAGAAAAGATGCCAATAGTCCATGAAGCTTCTTTGAAATTTCCGTGGAATGACACAATTGAACTGATTTACACTAGTGCACCTGAGCCGTCTGGATTTATATGGCTTTTTGGTCAAGGAGTTGTGGGTCAAACTGAACATATGTTCTGCCTGCTTGGTCGTCAGAGAACAAGCTTGAAAGAGGCGAAAAAATCGACTATTTTTAATGATTATATAGCTTTTCTTTGCCATCTTTCTCAAGAGCTAGAATTCGGAGACAAATTAACTATTGTAAATGGAGAAAAAATTGTGAATTCAGTTGCACGGTATAATCCACAGCATCACCAAACAATTAAAAAGCCGCGATATTTCTTATGCTTTGTTACAACCATTAAAAATATGGCATATTTAGTGGATGAATGGTATGAATATCATCGTCGTGTAGGTTTCGATCATCTAATAATTTATGATAACAATTCAACGGATGGTCTCGAAATATTGTTTCCGAATAGAGCAGATCTTGAAATTATTCGATGGCCATGGAGACGATCCCAGCATCAAGCATACACACATGCTCTGTTATTCACAAGAGATCGATGTGTTTGGACTCTATTCTCTGATCTTGACGTTTTTATATTTCCACGATCATCAAATTCAGTGCGAAGTATCATACAAAATCAAGCAAGATCAGATATTACTCAGATTAGTTTTAAATTACTCAGAATGTCTCATGAAAATCTTGTCGAATGTTCCAATACTTCGATTACAGAAACTTATATTCATCGAAAACGATTGCCAGATGCTTGGGACAAAAACCCATCGGCAGCAGTTATCACCTCACTCGCTGTACCCGTGCATCAAATACACGAAGCTGAATTATTGAAACCTTACAAGTCCATCATATTATCATCAGATATTGCCTATGGTGTTCATTACAGTGATCGTTGCTGGAAGCAGTACTTTTCTCAGAAAGTCGTTGGCCGAACCGGTGTCAAAGATTGGATTGTACCAAAAACTGTTAGTATACTGCATCCAAGTGAGAATTGGCAGAAACTATCGAAAGAAGCAACAATAAAAGATACCGAATTTCGAGACTTTAAACGTAAGATCATGCGAATGCCTATGCCAAAACCTGCTATATTTTAATGATTGGTAGTACAAGATGTTCTGCACATTCAAATACATACTCAAATAAAATGTATCGCACATATGTGTCGCTAGTTATAGTGCGATAAACTTTACCACGAAAATGTGAGGGCGGGGTGTGTGGTGGGGTACTGGTGTGGGGGTGCGGGTATGAGTGTGGGGTAAGATATAATACCCACACTCATACCGACACGCCATTCCTCATACCTACAATCACACCCACACTCTCACTATAGTACAGCATAACAAATTCTCCTTTGTAGCATGAGTAGAGCATCGTCAGAATTATACATTGCACTAAAAATATTATCCTGATTTCATCAAATCGAAGAAAACCAGCGCAATTCTTACACAGTGCTATTTTTAGCTTATGATCGAACAGAATTTATCAGCTTAGATTTTCGAAATTTTTTTATTTTTCACTTTTTTTGTCAGCTAATTTGCTTTAGTTTGAAGCCGAAAATAGTGATTTGGAACAGTTGCGCTGATTTTCTTCGATCTGATGGAATCAGGATGATTTTTTTAATGCAATGAATAGTTCTGACGATGTTCTATTCACGCTACAAAAGACAATTTATTGTGCTGTACTATAGTGATTTCCCACGGCTCTCAGTCTTAAGCTATGCAATTATGTGGATCTCCACTTCTATAGTAGCTATACTTGAGAAAATTTCAGCACAGATTAACCTTTGAGTGCTGACTTTTTTCTACCGATCTAAAACTGATGAAATTTGGTACAAACTAACTAGGCAATATTATGAAGCATGTGGCTAAGTTACAATGAAGAAAGCATGTGACCACAGGAAGATTTAAACATTTTTGTTATTGTTGAATTTTGCCAAAAAAAGATTGGTATTATAATTGCGGAAACATCTATTTATTTCATCACTGATACAGATAGTTTGTATGATGCAGCAAAAATAACTTTTTACCCAGAAAGTTACATAAATTTGAATGGCTAAATAGGGCATATATCACAGGGCAATGAATTGTGATATTAAATCTCTAAAAGTCAGATTATGTACTCAAAGTCTTTTTCGGACTAAAGTAACTTGACACAGTACATCTTTTCAACCTCATCTGGACACTCTATCATCTGTGCCAGCTTGTACGATCCTCTACTGGTTTTTCATATTTATTGAAAATATTTTTCAAGGATTTCTCAAAAACCTGAGGATTAGAAAATTATCGAGGTGGTACATATGTGTGCCACCGAGACTCAAAGGACTGAGCTATACATAGATAAGCAGTTTGTGCTATAATTCTCAAGTAAAAAGATTGAGCCTATCCCGAGATCCGAGTCAAAAACTGATGAGGTTGTGATCTGTTAGTTCCATATGTAGACAGAGGTTTATTCATAACTTAACAAAGGTGGGTCCGTTTCTCATGAAAAGTATACTGTAGAGAGAGGAAAAGGCGAGCTTTCCAACGTTTCCAGCAGTGGATCGGTCAAAGTTATATTCTTTTCCTAGCTGGAGATGATCCGATAGGTAAATATCGTTGCTTTTAAACTCAGATTTCATTCTGGGTAAAAGTCTAGAGCTCAAGTTTCTGTCTGCGATTAAGACTCATTAAGTTCGTCTTGTGACAAAATTTTCCCGAGAAACAACCCTTCTTTCGATGATTTTTGCCTGGTAGCAGGAGTTTTGTTCACGACTGTATTTTTCTTTCTTTACCCTGTCAGCAAGATCTAGTCATGGATAGTTGATATCCTCAATTTCATCGTTTTTCAATCATTCTTCAGTAGGTTACATTCATTTCTACAATCACCGTGAACCTTAGTTTTTAATCACCTATCGAAAAAAACTCCTTTTTTGTCTAATTAGCATGGTTCAACTTGCATCGGTTTTGTCGAGCTACTCGGATCACAAGAATACCATAGATGGTGTGGGTGAAAATGGGTGTGGGGTGTGGGTGTGGGTGTCGGTGTGGGTGTCGGTGTGGGGTAGGTGTGGGCGTGAGTGTGGGTGTGGGTGGGTGTAGGCATGAATCTGAAGTCACGCCCACACCTACCCNAAAAATGGTACTATTTATTGAAACTTTATCCCAAGAACTCAGAGTAATTACAAGTTTTTTTCCCTAACACTGTATGTAAAGAAATGTTTGTTAGCAAAATTATGAAAAGTAATGTAGTTAATACTTCTATGGATTCTCGAGGAAAATGTAAAGACTTCCATAAATTACTTAGTACCTTTCAACGCTCGTATTCCATTTTTTTATTTATTTTTTGAGCCTCCCCTAAATTTACTTTGCTCCGCCACCTATGAATGTAATGATTTTAATTTTTTCGAAGTCATCAAAATCCTGGAATGAAAATGATGCAAAAGTAATGAAAGTACTGTTATTATTATAATTTTGCAAAAAAGAATCAAGATTATCTGATAAAAATGATGAAAAAAAAAACTAATGAAATTAATTCAGTTTTTTTTTAAATAGACAAATTAATGCAGTGGAGATGATGTAAAAGTAATGAAATTAATGCAGTGATTTTTATTTTTCAAGAATCGACACTTTAATGAAATAAAAATGATGCAAAAGTCATGAAAGTACTGTTGTTATAATGCTTTTGTAAAAAATTAAGATTACCTGATGAAAATGATGAAAAACAAATAAAACTAATGCAATTGATTCAATTTTTTAAGAATAGACAATTTAATGAAGTGGAAACGATGCAAAAGTAATGAAACTAATGCAGTGATTTTAATGTTTCAAGAATACAGAATTTCATCAAATAAAAATGATGCAAAAATAATAAAAGTAATGTTATTATTATAGTTTTTCAGAAAAATTAAGATTATTTGATGAAAATCATGCAAAAAAATGAAATTAATGCAATAATTTCAATTTTTCCAGAATAATCAATTTAAGACAATGAAAATGATACAAAAATAATGAAACTATCGGGATGAGTTTGATTTTCGAGAAATAATTAAAGTAACGAATTTTTTTGATGAAAAGTTTGAAAAAAATCATTTAAATGAAATTTTTTTCATTTTTTTATTCCCTGGGGAAGGTACACAAGGTCACTAATATGAGTCACTTTGGGGCTTATCTTGCGTACCACCAAAGTAAGGCAAAAGCTTAACCGATCAAGCTGAAATTTATAGGAGTGACTACTGACTATGAGTCCTAGAATTGCTGAAAGTTTCATGAAAAACTGATAATGTTTTCTATGGGGGCCGATAACAACGGAAAACGTCCCCCGTCCTTTCAAAAAATTACTGACAACAATTTTAATACGACTTAAACTTTCAGTTATATTTTTAAACTTGCTGAAATTTATGAAGTTCACTAAATGTTGAGTTTCACTATTTCAATTTAATGGGCTGTAATTTGAAGAGTGCGCTGAAGTTTAGCAGTGCTTTTTTTAATCTTAATTAACTGCAATTTATAGAGTTCGCTAGACATAATTGTTACTATGAATGCATCAGCTGTTTTTGATTTTGAACAGACCACATAATTATGATTATAAAATGGAATCAAACATTGAATGGAGACAATTGATTGGGGTGCAAAAGCATTTATACATAAAAATCAAAACTACAAAAACGATATTCTAAAAAAGACGGCTTAGAAATATAGATGTTGATGAGCGTCTTCTCTTGACGACTACAGCTCGATCCACCCACACCACATTCGGAATAAATATCGATTATCACAACAAATTATAATGCAATCTCCTTAAAAACTCGCTTTGTCTTTAACTAAAATCGTTCTTAGTTCAGCCCAAATCAACAATCCTTGCCCGTTCCTTATGAGTGTTAGTTTATCAATAACAAAAGAAAAAGAAACCAGCTAGTACATTTTATTTTTGACTTTCATTAAGATTCTTTGCAGCTAGGTTCAAACGAAAATCTTAATTCGACCAAAACCTAACGTCCTCTACAAATTACAGCAATCGTACTGAATTTAAAAAATTTTTCTGATCAAAAGCTTTCGTCCCCTACAAATTGCAGTAAGTATCTGAAACTTAAAAGATTTCTATTGTCAAAAAACTAACGTTCTCTACAAATCGTAGCATGCTTAATAAAAAAAACAACTTTTTATTAAAATCTTTTAAAACAATTTACTTTCAATATTCGTTTGCAGTAATCAAGTTTTTAAAAGTTAAATATAAATTTTAATTGTTTTACGAAAAATTAATAAAATTATCAAATTTAAATCAAACGAAACTTTAAAAATTTTAATTTACTTAAGATTTCTTCTCTTTATGTTCGCAATTGAGAAATAGCCGCGGGAACTGTATCCAGATCTCGATCTTTGATGAGAAGCATGAAATTGGGCACGAATCACTCTCGGCATTAGTATCAAAAACGGTTGTCTCCTCTCATATATACAAGGGATGTTTGAAGCTTTGTTTTACCAGAATCAACGCTATTGAGCAGCATAGTATTGCTTGTGTAGCCTTAATATTTTATCTATCTTGTACAACGATGAGGAAAAAAATAAATTAAGCCATGGTATAATGCACATTCTTTCCAATCTTCAATTGACTCTCGCTGTCTCCGTCAATTAAGCTGTTTGATCGATGAATGATAGAACAAGCAAAACAACAAAAATATTTTGATTGGAAAAAAACCAAAGTATTTCAATAATATATGGCCATGTGCTATTTTACGTATACGGATGAATGCACGCAAGTCAAACTTTTTTTTTCGATACGCATATAAGCAAAATAATGTTTTCATTCTTTTGCATAGGATAACTTCGATTCATTACACCATTATTCTGCTCGTCAGCATAGAAGATTTCGCAAGAATACACTGAGCTAGCGTAAGTTTTTTTTTAAAATTGCATCCACTTCAGAAGACATTTTTCATTGTCCGTATTCAGCGGATTTTTCTGTCCATAAGTAATATCACTAGCGAGGAAACATTTCCAAGTGATCCACTGATTGACATTTATATGGTACTCATGTATATGAAACCATTAGATTAGAATAATCGCCAAAGGGTTCATGCTCTCGTTCAGATTTGGCAGAAATTTCTAATTTTTAGTGG